CGGTGATGATACATCAAAGTAGGCCAGCTCGTGATACCATATTACATTGAAACAGGGTTCCTTTGTTCTCCTGCGAAGCTGCCTTTCTGTTTAAGACTTCCGGACTGCGATGATGGATTCTAGACCCTCGTAAGTCTAGGCCTCTGGAGTCAGGATACCCGTTAGTAGTGAACAGTCTTTAAGGAACCACGACAACAATCCGCCTAGATCAGAAGATACGGAAAAGAAAATATGATCCAACTCCCAGTCCAGACCTCCAGACGCCACAATGATGTCCCGAGTAAATCAAGGATTTATTTGTGTATCGATGAAGTGAGGCCGTCGATAAACTAGTCTAGCGTAAGTTCAGATCACATAGTCAAGCGCTAGAGGAGATCCTCCGCCCCAGAATTGGCTTCGCCCCTCTCCCCCCCCCCGAAGCTGGCAAAAGTACGGACTCATTCTTAGGGTCTGGACTTTGGACTGGCCTCGTTGACAAATCTTTTCGTCATGCGTGGTTCATGTACCGCATCCGGTCAGGAAATATTCCCTAATTCCCCCCCGTCTTCAACAAACTCTAGAAGTGAGGGTTCCATGGATCGAGTTTACCGATCGTAAGGTAGCTGGGTGTGCGTACGTGCTTAACTATCCATTTGCTGGAACTCAGTCGGCAGAGCATCTCCGGCCAGGCTGATTGGCTCACTTGATCTGTCACCATCACATTTTCAAAGTATCGATTCGCGAGGAGAGCGAATTATCTGGGTCGATCTATGGATTACTGGGAATATCCTTGTTGATCAGCCAGGAACTAAGCATATCGACATTTTTTAGTCCTCAATGAGCTCAAACCCTATTCGAGTCCATCGTGTGAAGGATTCAACCACGCGCTATTGGCGCCTCGTCTATTAGTCCCGCCCCACCAGGTGAATATCAATATGTGACATGTCCACTGCGCAATCTATCCATTATTAATTGTTGGAGCCAATGTGACAGACAATGCCATTATGAGGAGTTCGTTGGATGTTTGTCGCTTGTTCGCAATCTCGGTTACGCCGAAGTTATGTAGAATCAGTCTTGGGGCTTTGCCTGCTGCGTTGCGACGGCGCCATGCAGCTGTTGACCAACAGTATTGTATGTACGGTTAAAAATTAAACTATCCACTTCATGAACATACAGCATAACTATCGAGGCTCAATCACGGACAAGTGGTGCTATTAGCTCTCACAGTATCCAGTCTAATAGTCAATCACAGCTGCTACTGCTACGTTCGTCGCATTGCTGTGTGCCGTCCGGCGCAATCACGCAGGTATACAGTAGCGCGCGCTATCTCCTCGGAACTCTGCCCCTGCTATTACCTGCTTAATACCATGGACAATCGCTTCTGACGTTTAGCCTCATTCTACATGCTCGGCTATGGCGGTTAGGAATCTTATTTGGAGCGTTTGTTCGAGTCATGGAAGGCCAGGGTATGGTTGAGCTACAGTAGACTTCTACCATTAATGTCTGTAAAGACAGGGTATGCCACATGCCTTATATTATCCATGCCCTATGCACAGTTTATCACTATCACTAGCCTTAGTTTTTTGGTAAGTGTCCACTTGGCGCTGTGCTGTATTCCACTCCTTGTTCTGCGGCCGACGATGCTAGTCATTCATACAGGACTTAATTATCGCCAAGTGATACTCGCGGGGGATCGCGGAATAGCTTCATAGTTACTATGGTAGCCAGGAGAGAATGTAAACCAATAGTAACTCTACCTTGCAGTAGTTATTGCAATCTCGTAAGGCAACCGTTCAACGGTTACACAGAAAATTTGGTCCAGAGCTATAGCGCAGGGTCTTCCGTTATACATATGTACTAGTCACAGCATGGAATCGAATTCTCTGTCGTGTGAATGCCTCATCCCGCATTTGCAGTTGCGATGCGCCGCAACCGCTAGTCAGGGGCGAACTTTCGTGAACACGTAGTTCATTTGTTAGTCGACCCTGTATGTTTCGTAAGGCTAGCTGTATAGTTGACGTTGTAACTCTCATATAGCAAGCTGACAAGTATCATATCTCGCGCAGGGAACAGGCTTCGTGATTGCAGTTGGACGGTATAGCATGGTTATCCTATAGATCGAAACGGCAGCAGGGTTACATTGAGCTGCGAGGAACTGTGGAACAGAGATGAAGCACAGATACCCTAAGCAACCCGGGTGGTGTCGCATTTCAATTTGTCCGGATGTCAAAAGTACTCAATAAGCAAATCTGCTATAGCTCTTTCTATGACTAGAATGTAACCACTTGTATGGATTAGGGTAACAACGAAAGGTTTTTCGACTACAAATACCTACAGCACATTTTAGACCATGATTCTCAATTAGTCAAGCCCAAATCAAAACACAATTCTTGACGAAAGTCATTGTCCATAAGTGGTTGTCAAGAGTCCAGTTTTGCCTGATTTACAGGGCATCGCTATGTATCACTTATCATCAGGTGTTGTTAAGGTCACGTGTAAAGAAGGTTTGCTCCAGAGCTATGACAACATCGACTATCAAATACTCTCTTCATAATTGCTTGGGAATAAAGTGCTTTACAAGTCAGACGGAAGAAGGAAAATGCTTTTAAGTTGATTTTAGGCTACCTCTCAGGCTTTATATTGACCAATCGCTCATCCTAGTATGAGCGACACAGCTTGTGCTGCACAATGACGACGCAACGAATATATTTATCACGAACCCTACCTTCTCTCCTCCGACGCACTGTTCATATACCCAATAGGAAACGATCGATAGGACTTTCCTGGAAATATCATCGAAAGTACAGCACAGAAGCCAAATCAGTGCCACCAGCAGAAAACCCTACCTCTCCCGACCAGCCTTCCGTACCTTCGCATCTCAATCCCTCACCCGAAGACTATTCTCGATTCATTTTCCAGGATAAATGTCGCTCGGTAATCTACGCTGGCACAGGCGGTAACGGGTGTGTGTCGTTTCTCCGGGAGAAATACGTTGAAGAAGGCCCACCGAATGGCGGCGATGGCGGGAGTGGTGGGAGCATCTACATCCAGGCCGTTGAGGGGCTTACGAGTCTACATAAGCTTGCTCGCAGGGGCGTCATAAAGGCTGGCCGAGGGAAGAATGGACAGGGTAAGAGCAAAGGCGGCAGACGAGGTGAGGATGTTCTCCTTCAGGTGCCTGTTGGTACAGTGGTGCGTGAAGTGAGCAGGTATGATCCAGTTGCAGAGGAATGGGCACTTCGGAAAAGGCAGAGAGCCCAGGAGAAACCCGAGGAAGTCGACGAATTAGACGAGATTGGGCTGCCATCTATTCGTCACGATCGATGGGTACTTTATCCAGGGGCAAATCCTTCGGATTTCTTGACCACGGTGTTTCCAAGGAACCCACCTAGGAGACAGCATATCGCTGCCTTGGAACCAAAAGCCCCGATTCATCTTGATCTGTCGCAACACATGGATAAACCCATTCTGCTCGCTGCCGGGGGTGTCGGTGGCTTGGGAAACCCGCACTGGGTGTCCCGTTCGATTAATCGACCGAAATTTGCCTCTAGAGGAGAAAGTGGCATGCGCCTTGAGTTAGAATTCGAGTTGAAGCTGCTCGCCGATGTTGGGCTCGTTGGGAAGCCTAACGCTGGAAAAAGTACACTGCTCCGATCGTTGACCAACAGTCGCACACGGATTGGGAACTGGGAATTCACGACATTGTCGCCAAACATTGGAACGGTCGTCATCGATGATTTTAAAGGACGGCCACTGGTTGAATCCAAGGGAAAGGCCCCGCGAACTAACTTTACCATTGCCGATATCCCTGGCTTGATTGAAAACGCACATCTCGACCGTGGCTTGGGCTTAGGTTTTCTGCGACATATCGAGCGGGCGGGTATCCTGGCTTTTGTGGTGGATCTTAGTGCTGGAGACCCCATCCAAGGACTTAAGAACTTGTGGCATGAGCTCGGCGAGTACGAGCGGGTACGTGACACAGAACCAGTGCTTAAAGAAGGGGATGATTCCCTCGCATGGGTTCCACCGACCCATGGCCTACCTGAGCTTCAGTCCGAAGTTCCTGAGACGTTCTCTAACTCAGAGCTTCCCGATCTTACTCTTCCCCCTATTCACACAAAACCTTGGTTCGTTGTAGCTACCAAGGCTGACCTGCCAGAGACTCAGGAGCAGTTCAAGAAACTGCGAGGCTATCTTTCAGCTGTGGAGAACGCTCAGGTTGAGCATCCCGGAGGTCATTCTGATGGCTGGAGGGAGAAGATATACGCAGTTCCTGTGAGCGCCATGAGAGGAGAAGGTGTTGAGCGCATTCCAAAACTTGTCATGGAGTTCCTGCAATGATCGCCATCAGATCAGCAAATGCAGCTAGGATTCAAAGTAATATTCACTATACAGTGATATCTTGACTTCAGTCTTTGTACTTATAGGATCCTTGTATATTATTCACATTGGAGATATTTGAGAACTTCAAGCACCTATTTACTTGAATAACCTCAAATTATGGGTTGTTGTAATCTTTATTTTGAGCTACTAAATATTGTTGTCGGACTTAAAAAAATAATCCCCGCATGACGTTGCGGTAAAATTAGAGTGAACCAAAAAAAATACGCGTGGCCGCAACAAATGCGATGCTCATCTTTTACAAACCACCGTTCTCTAACCATACCCCCACTTACATATTGGTGCCGGTGTTAACAATTCTATCCGGGTATTGTCTCTCAAACCTCTCACCAGGGAGACAATGGTTCACCTCCACCAAATCATTCCTATCGCACTCTCCGCTATCGCAGATCCAGCCTCCGACGACCCCATCCTCGAATGTCTCAACCACGACCTTGAGGCCCATCGGGAACTCGTTTTAAATACCCCGGACGAGGCTCTGCATCTTGCCGATACGAATCTACGCGTTTTCCCATTCAAAGATGTCCAAACATGCTGGCGACGCCTGTACACAGACGCGACTGTCGTCAAGGCTTGTCTCAACATATGCCACAACTGTGAATTTCCACGCGAAGGAAACTCGCACAACGACAATGCGACACACAATGTATCAGTTTATCCGCATTTGCTCTGCGACATGAACAAATGCATGGGTAGTGGAAAGGAGCGGGAGGCGCTGAAGGTGTCCCCCAATGCGCCATGGTTATCACACACTATACGCATTCTCGACAAAGCCTTGATCATGACCGGTGCTCCTTTGCGCGAATCACTCATCGAATCTCTACTCGATGCGCTTCAGGATGCCACTATATCCTCTGAAGATGGAGGGGCCAAGGGTGAAAACCCCCAAGACATCGATGATACATCAGACCGAGCCGCGAAGCGCAGAAAACTTTCTCCTCCGCTGTTTTTACCAGATACTATCCCTGCCCCCGAGCTGAAAAACCCCATCCCTCGCATTTCGGCTCCTTCATTCGACTCTATCGAACATCATATTCGTCATGTCAAGACTCCCTTGGTTATTACCGATGCCGTCGAACACTGGCCGGCGATGTCGAGTAGGCCCTGGGCCTCGAAAGATTACTGGTTCGATCGCACCTTTGGCGGACGGAGACTTGTTCCAGTGGAGATTGGGCGATCGTATACAGATGAGGGATGGGGACAACGAATAATGGAATTCCGGGACTTCGTCGACCGATATCTGTGGCATGGCCAGATGCAGTCTTCAAACCATTTTGACAGTAAACAGTGCCAAGATGGGGTCGAAGACGATGAGGGGCATACCGGCTACATGGCACAACACGATCTGCTGGCTCAGATTCCAGCTTTACGAAAGGATATTTGCATCCCCGATTATTGCTACATTGATCCACCGGGGCCGGAACCCGGAACACCGGTATACATGAAGAAGCTCTGGGAGCAGGAAAGAAAACTTAACGGGACAGGCTCGCAGCCAGCATCTACTGGCCAGGATAGCCAGCACGATGATGACAATGATAGCTCGGCTTCGGAGCTGGGTCTCCCCGCTGATCCGATCATCAATACCTGGATCGGTCCCTCTTGGACTATATCGCCTCTTCACCATGACCCGTACCATAACATTCTGGTCCAGGTCGTGGGCGCGAAGTATATCCGTCTCTACTCTCCGAGGACGCCCGCGTCCCAAATATATCCGAAAGGAATGGAAGCCGTCCAGTCATCGGAGAACAGAGATAATGCGGACGGTAAAGCCAATGAACCACGGCTCATTGATATGTCCAACACATCGCAAGTCGACCTTGCAGCTATCGAACTCTCCCCCGCCGAGTCCGACCAATGGGATGCAATGTGGCCGGGCTTTATGCAGGCGGAATACGTTGAAACGGTCCTCCAAGAAGGGGAGTGCTTATATATTCCTGTTGGGTGGTGGCATTATGTGCGTGGCCTGAAGGCAGGAATCAGCGTTAGTTTTTGGTGGGAATAAAACCTTTACGATTACGATGGCGTTCTTTACGTGTCTTGTCAGATACCCTATATCGGCTAGTTATTATCTTCAAGAGCAGGAATGGGGTTGTGGAGTTCAGGTGTTTTCTCTTTCTTTTTCTGTCAACATATTCAGGCATTGATTTACCTGTCAAATTCATTGATCATTGCCTACAGGTATCAAAGTATTGTTGTATAAGATTCGGACAAACACCATAGTGCCGGATAGCTTTCCAGTTCAATTATTTCTCACCAATACCAAGGGCTTCCCGGCTTCTATAGAATCACCCGGTTGAACCAGGACCTTTTCCACTGTCGCGCCAGCGGCATGCAGTTCCGTTCGCACTGCGATTTCGAGTTTCATCGCCTCCAAAATAACCACAACCTGGCCCTCATCGAGCTTGTCACCCTGTTTGACCTCGATTTTCCAAATATTAGCATTCAACGGAGCTTCGATTGGAAGAATCTGAGGGTCTAAAATGGCACTTAGTAAGCATTCTTTCGTGTTGCTATGCCTCCCTTATTCCCAGAAAGAAATATGGACTAGAAGTTTGTACATACCTTTCAATAAACTCTCAATAGCATCAACCGGGACACCTTTCTCCGCTTTCTCCTTTGCCCATCGTTCTAAGAGTTCCGCCTCGAGTTTGTCCATCTCGGCTTGTGCTTTGCGCTGGCGTGCTCGGATGGTTGCTACTTCTTCTTTAGTGTCGCGGAGGAGCTTGTTGTGCTCTGCCATGTCGAAAATCACTTCTTCCCATTGGTATTCGTATCGGCCGCTGTTGAAGAGGGCCAACTCTTTTTCGTATTCTTCTTCTGATACGCGATAGAATGTGATTTGGTCGAATTCTTCGAAGAGCCATGGTCTATCAGGTGTGTATCCCCTCTTGGATCCTAGGATGTCGACGCCTGGGATCGTCATTCCAGTCATTTGGTAGCCTCCGGGAGAGTCCACATTGTATAAACTAGATGTGCACGAATCTTCCGTTAGGATTCGCTGGACAAAACCATACAAAACTGGTTGGTGTGGATATAAAGAAAGCACTACTTACGCCATGCAACTACCACCCCACGATACTGAGCCTGCAGGCGTATAGACTCGGCTAGGATTCATTTTCGGGCAGTTCATTCGCTGGCGCGGGTCGACTGGGAGTGCTAAAGGGAGCGCTGTAAAAAATCCAACGGATACGACCATTAATCGTGCAGTTAGATAGATATTTTCGACTTCTGCTTTTGTGAAGGCGTTGTTCTTTGCAACAAAATTCATGTTGTCTGGGAGGTAGGAGGCGTAAGGGCGCTGTGTCTCCATGTATCGTTCGATGGCGGTCTTTTGGCGCTGGCTTTCAAATGCGAGTGGAAGCTTGAATAGTCGGCTGGGCATCTTAGCTTCGCTGAGATCGCCCAGCTTGGTCTCGAGGTCACAGAGGTGGGCTATGAGCTTATGCTGAGGGAGTTTAGTGCCGTCGTAGTAGAGCATGAGGGCTTCATTCGCAGGGTTAGAACTATATCGTCTTGCTTAACAAAGTGAATCTTACAGTTTCCACATCCAATCATTGAGACCAGCCCGTTGGAGAAAGTGATATCTCCATTGCCTTCACTTAGGATTTTCTTCAGGGCAGTAACTCTACAGCGGTGGTTCAGGTCGAAGAACCCCATGCCGTAGTCGATCAGGATATAGTCGTCTCCCGCCTATTTGAAACACTTATTAGCATTAATTGCACCTTATAGCACTTCTGCAAATACTACCTACCTGTCGATAATTAACGAGCGGTTGAGTTCCCTGCTCCTGGATCTGGTGAACGACTCCAGTACCACGTATCTCTTTCGTCAGCGCTGGAGGGAGGGTATCCTTCAAAGGAGCTATGTTACTAAAGTTTCCTCCCTCTTGGCAACATTTGACAACTTCGCGAACAAATCTCTCTGTATGGTTGCGTGATGCTAAGGCATCTTCCAAAGAAGTAGCTCTGTACTTCAGTGTATCACCTGCTTTCGCCTGCCCTAGCTTCCACAGATCCGCCTTAACGATCGTGTGACTACTAATAAACCCGCCGAAATCCGGCGCATCCTGCGGGAAGATCACAGGGTCGTCACCTGTCCAGTTAAGTGAGCCTATAGCGTACCCATACTCTATCAGATTGGATGGATGGGCGCCACCCTCTCCTCCATCCGAGCGAGCCCACTTCGGCTTAGGTCCGAGAAGACGGATGCCGCCTCTTGCTGCATTGTGGGAGATCTTCCATTCCGTTTCGTACAGCATGTCAATACTATCGGGGGTAAGATACCCTTCATCGTAAGGACCCGGCATAGAAAGGAACTCCCAATGGTCAGTGTATTCGGGAATGAGGTGCTCCGGTATAGAGAGATTACCAAGACCATCGGGTACATTGTTAGTTATTGACAGTAAGTCACCGGATGCAAGCTGCCGACCTTGATAACCTCCGACGCCAACCATTGGAGATGTAGACTTCGACCCGAACCATTCGGCGACGTTCAAGAAACCTCCGAATACTGCTAGGTAGGCTCTGCAGCCATTCCCGATGGTCTTGCCAATCTTCAACCGTTGACCGGCTTCTATTTTAATTCTTGACCACATACGTACAGGGACGTTGTCAAGGCTGGCTTCAATGGGCGCCCCGCAGAGAGATATGAGTGCAGGTCCCAGGAAACGTAGTTCTGGCCCGCTTAAGGTTATCTCAAGGGCCTCCAACCCAACGGGGTTTCCCACAAGTGCGTTTGCGATACGGAACGCTAAAGGATCCATTGGCCCGGAATGGCAGAACCCTTTGCCCAAAGTTGGACGACCAGGCCAGTCCTCAATGAGCGTATAAGCACCACCAGACATAACATCAATAGCTGACAGCTTCCATTGAAAATCGGCCAGGAATCTGGTTAGGGTATTTCCGGCGACGAATCGTTCGTCAGTAAGAATCTCAACCATAAACTCCAGGTTAGTTGGGGGGCCGCAGATTCGGGACTGTGCTAATATCGTCCTCATTCCCTCAATGGTTTGCTCTCGGCTTGGGGAATGAAGCATGACCTTCGCCAGCAAAGGATCTGTTGGCTCAGATGAGTTTGTGCTCTTGTTATTACTGAATGTAAGTCAAAGGCAACGCACCATAGTTTGCCGATATTTTAATGCCTCTGTACACCCACGTGTCAATCCTTGACCCTGGCAGTTCCTTCCATTCCACATTCTGTAATGTTCCAGGACAAGGAGCAAAGTCTTTTGTCGGATTCTCGGCATATACTCTAGCCTCGATAGCGGCACCTGAAGGAGCATCAACTGGAATGCTCCTAAGAAAGGCTACCTCAAGGCCCTTCTTTCCCGAAAGTTGAGCATCTGCTTGATTCAGCATAAGTTCCACCAAATCAACACCGTAGCATAATTCTGTTATTCCATGCTCGACTTGAAGTCGGGTATTCATTTCAAGAAAGAAGAATGCACCAGTCTCATCGTCGACAAGATACTCGATCGTTCCGGCTGATCCATAATTGATAGACTCCGCAAGACGAACAGCGGCGTCGCCCAAGCTTTTGCGGAGCCCGGGGTTTCTGGTGACGAATGGACTTGGGCACTCTTCGATTATTTTCTGGTGTCTTCGTTGTATGGAGCATTCTCGTTCGCCAATAGCAATGGCCTTGCCGTCTCCATTTCCAAAGATCTGCACTTCGATATGGTGGCTAGACGGATAATATCGTTCAATGAACATTCCGGCATTTTTGAACAAGGTCTCTCCTCTAGACCTGACGGTAGCGAACGACTCGCGTACTTCATCTTCGGAACTGCATGTCAGTAGACCCATCCCACCGCCGCCAGCGGTAGCTTTGAGCATAACCTGGTGTGCAACATATTAGCTTTGCTAAGGAAGCAGGTTAGCCGATGGCATACCGGAAACCCTAGGTCTTTGGCTACCTTCACAGCCTCCTCCTCGCTCGTCACCAGGCCTGTTGATCCAGGTACGATAGGTACCCCAGCCTTTGTGGCGAGGTCTCGTGCCGTATGCTTCAGCCCAAATGCTTCGATACATTCTGGCGATGGCCCAGCAAAGACCATACCGGCCTTAGCAATGGCTCTTGCGAAGTCTGCATTCTCTGACAGAAAGCCATATCCTGGAATGATAGCGTCCACATGGTTACGCTTCGCTAGTTCAATTATTTGATCTCTAAGATACAGTCAGATGGTGGCCGTTGCAGAGAAGACCGGGAGAGAAACCCATCGATGTATGCTTTTGAAGGTGGCCCATCAAGCAGGAAGGCCTCATCCGCTAGTTGAACGTGAGCGGAAGCGGCGTCTGGTTCGGTGTAAAGAGCAATTGTTCGCAAATTTAGCTTTCTAGTGCAGTCAGTCGATTAGGGTTCAAAGCCCAGCGACAGGCATGGACTAGAGATTCGTACTTTGCTGTCTTCAAAATCCGCACGGCTATTTCGCCACGGTTTGCGACCAGTACTGTCTGGAGTGATTCCATCCTAAGTCAGAGTGCATTGATAGTAATTCTACAAGTCTCGCCGTTTGGGTGGTATCGGGTGTTTAATAGACTGAGTAGACAGACAAATTGTCAACCTCCTTCACCCTCCAGGTTGAAAAGTCCTCGGCACTATAGACCAATAGCAGGGATGCCATGACTTCAGATACGAATCACGGATCCTTGATAAAGTTGGAAGGTTGTCGTCTCAAATTTGGGGTTAGGCGTTGATGGATGGCAATAGGTTGGAGAAATTGGAGGCGTGCGGAGTCAATGCAGCGATAAGAGTGGGACACACCCCTCCTTTGCGTAGCTAGGGTGGGAAGCTGATATCATAAGAAGCTCTCCCTCGCAATCTAAAGATCTCTTCGTTTTCAAATAATACATTTTCGTGATTGTTGTATTCTCAGAGGAATCTGAAAGTCGGTTACATAAAAGCCCATGCATCATGGCTCCAATACAGCAGAAAGCACTGGTTAACTGTGATATGGGCGAAGCCGTATGTCGCTCTCCCTCCCCCTGGCTTTGCACTGTCGATATACTAAGTAGTTAATATGGCCTGTAGTACGGCAATTGGGCTTGTGGTCCTGATCTTGAACTCCTCCCCATGATTGATATCGCAAATGTTGCCTGCGGAT